TGCCTAGGTTAATTATTCATCCTAAAATTCTCCTTCCCTCCCCTTTACTGCTGGACAAACTAGGTTGTTCAAGCAAAACTAAACTGCAGAGCCTCCTTCAATCCTTTCTGTCTGCTTTATACGTGCCTATAGTTTAGCAAATACTATGGTCATAATAGTTACTTGCGTATTCCTCTACCTATTCCCTGGGCCCTAAAACCTACTTGAGGACAGGACAGTGACATTTGTCTTTTTATCCCCCATCCCTGAACCCTCCCCCACACAACAAGAATAGAGACTGGTTTAGCGTAGACTTTCAGTAAATGTTCTACTTCCCTATTTTGAATTATATCGTCATAAAAAAAGTAGTGTTCCCTCTCTGCTTTCTCTAGTAAAAGTAGTTTAAGAGGCCAAATCTGCCAGTTTTTAAAAAGAGTGAAAGAAAAATCCAGGGATGTAACTGCATTGCCTTTAGCTAGAGGTGGTTTGAAGATATACTCTTTATGGTTGCCAATGACTTCATATTTTGTAACTCTTCAGCTGTCCCGGCATATTACTTGCAGAAAGCATTACAGAGGTAGGCATTGAATCCCATATCTGTCAGGTGGTCACACAAACAAGCACAACTTCTAGATGAATTTGTGACTCTTAAAAATATAAATATAGTGCAGGGACTCTAGTTCCTAAAAAAGAATGCAAAGACTACAATTTTAGTAACATCCTCTGGGCAAGCATAAAAGATGAACTTAGTCACGTTTGCCAGCTTCCGTGATGAATAAAGCATTGTCAAAGCAGAGGGATTACCTGTGAATTAAAATAATGCTGATGGGGAATAACCAGAACTTGTTTTTATTTTATTTATTTTATTTTATTTTTTGAGACAGGGTCAGCTCCATTGCCCAGGCTGGAGTGCAGCGGAGCAATCAGAGCTCACTGCAACGTCCGCCTGCTAGGCTCTAGCGATCCTCCCACCTCAGCCTCCAAAGCAGCTGGGACTGCAGCCACAGTGGACTGATTTTTCCATTTTTTGTGGAGGCAGAGTTTTGCCGTGTTGCCCAAGCTAGTCTGGAAATTTTGGGTTCAAGTGATCAGTCCACCTCAGCACTTATTTTACGTTGTTTAAAAATAGTTCCTAAAGCAACAAGTTGTTTAAAATTTTGGTTGGTTTCTTATTTCATCTCTTTGAGTCAGAATAATAGGGCATACTAATTTGACTAATTCTACTATCACTGAGCAATATGAACTATTTTCACACATAGCTTTAAAATAATTCTTGCAGACCCGGCGCGGTGGCTCACACCTGTAATCCCAGCACTTTGGGAGTTCAAGGAGGGTAGATCACGAGGTCAGAAGTTCAAGAACAGCCTGGCCAAAATGGTGAAACCCCCGCTTCTACTAAAAATACAAAAATTAGCTGGACATGGTGGTGGGTACCTGTAATCCCAGCTACTCAGGAGGCTGATGAAGAGAATTGCTTGAACCTGGAAGGCAGAGGTTGCAGTGAGCCAAGATCACATCACTGCACTCTAGCCTGGGTGACAGAGCGTGACTCTGTTTCCAAAAAAGAAGAAGAATTATTGCAATAAGTAATGAGAAAATGGGAAGAATCATGTACAAGGTTGAGACATAGAAGTGGGAAGCTGGGACAGCACTGGCAAAACCCCTAAACGCTGCTGTCATTTACATATTCTAGCATCTGACCAATTCCTCTCTTTGTGGCCCTCATTTAAAAAACACACTCTGGGAGAGAAGTACTTTATAAAACTAATTCACACTAAATACCACAGACATATAAGATCTCTTTTCCATACAAAATCAGGACTCTTGAGGTTAGTGCACGCCTGAGAACAGAGGACAGGGAGAAAGTCCCAGTAAGTTATAGTTAAAATATTTCTGGTTTTATTTTGTTTTGTTTTGTGTTTTCTTTTTGTTTTTTTAGACAAACAAGGGACATATTGGAGCCTATACTTATACTCTTCACTGAAATGGCCTGGGATGATCTCCTTTTAGATGTCACATGGACAGGTCACTGTTTAAGGAATGTAGCCGACTTCCAATCCACTGGACATTACATTTGGAGTGATCTAGCTTCATCTGCTTTCATCCTCTTCTTTGTTGGGCTATGGGGCTGTTAAAAATTTAGGCTTACGGCGCTTTCCCTTTAAACCCATAGAGGGTGAATATTAGCTACAGAGTAGTCAAAACTCTTTTTCTGAATTAATTATATGTTTCTGTTTAATATTTTATGTCCGTTGCTTAACATCATGCCTAATACACAAAATGAAGAAGGTACTTGTGAAATAATCAGTGATAGATGGTTGGAAGGATATGTAGGAGGGAAAGCTTATAAGAAGTTTTGTTGTTTTCTTCCTATGTGAGACAGATCACTAGTATGGGAACTCTTTCTATACTTCCCAGTTATCTGCAAGAATCAAACTAAAAATGTAGTTAATGCCTTGATTCATAAATATCTCTAATCAGATATTTTGGTCAGATTTGTAACATCTACTTAATTGTTAATTGACAACATCTCGTAACACAAGTGCCATGTCTTGCACCATTTTGAAAAGCAAAGCTGAACTGAGTACTAGGACAGATTCCTAAAGTGTCAAGGCTCTAGAGAGAAAGTAAAATAAAGGTAGTCCAGGCTGAACAGCCGTTTATGGAAGTATAGTCAATCTTAGATCCTCTAGTACATTCATTACAACAGAATTCTGAAATGTGTAGGTCAAGTGACCATTCCTCTTGGTTTCCATAGGGGATGGAGGAAGTATAAAACTGAGTACAGTCCAAAAAAAAGAAGCAATTGTTGACTTATTTTTATAGCAATAATATTTTTGTTTAAATATAGATAAAAAATAGAAACTACCAAAAACAATTTCCACAATAGCAAGTAGACAGTCAGGGTTAAATTATTTAAACTTGATTTTTCTGTGTGTGTGGGTACTATATCACATTTTCAAATAGGTGGGGCTTCCCCTGATATTTTGTCAAGAACCATCAACAGTATTTTTAGCAACATTCGTTTTATATTTAATCTGGTAGCAGATGTCTGGGTGGCAAATTGAAATTTCAAGAATAAGAAATTAAAAAAATAATCCAGTAAGAGAAAAACATTGAGAATATTAAAATATCTAATATAAATTGTCTACTTAGCTCCTTTCTTCCTTCCTCCTTTCTTTCCTTACTTTTTGTCTTCTTTTCTGTGTTCTATTTGCTTTTATCTTTTCTGTCCTTCCTTTTTTTCCAGTTAGATAGTATTCTGGACACAAAGAATAAGGCCAAATATTTTATGAACCCCAAACATAATTAAATAAATCATAGATTAAATGGTAGATTATTTTATGCTTCAGATATCTTCATTTAACAGACCATTTAATGGATCAATTTAGAGGATTATATCAAATCTAAAAAAACACACTTACATTAGCTACTTTCTTATAAAAAAGTTTGTACTCCAAAAAGTTTTCACTGCTTCCTATTTTGCCTGGCAGTCCTTTCTAATTTCCGCTGGTATAAATCAATTTAGATTTATTCACTTTGTACAAAAGAACTCCTGTAAGTTTTTAATAATAATTATCATTATCACTGATTAAAGTTATATTGTTCAGGCCAGATGGAGGCCTTTTCCTGTCAGCTACAATGAGCTTGCATTATGTTGTTATAATGTGTTTGGCTCTAAATAAACAGATGGCAGAGTTACAGGATATTATATACTGATGATGTCAGTGGCAGTACTTCACAAACAGCATTGCTTTAAATAAACTCTGTTGTAGCAAAGATCCCTGTACTTTTAAGAAGATGACTTGAATTGAACCTAAGTATTGTATTAATTTGGAAATAGTACGGTTTACTTCCTCAAAGGTAGACCATCTGAATGGTCTGAGGCTCAGCCAGAGAAAGTGTCTGTTGAATCATTATGTTAACCATGTATGCATTCAACAGTATAACCTCACTTAGGCAGTTTCACTAGAGTCAGGAAAACACTCCAGGCTGTAAGAACTTTCTGGTTGAGGAATTAAAAACTTAAAGAAAGATGGGAACATCTTGATCAGACAGTATTTGATAATATTTATAATATAGTTAACTTTGCTAAACACTTTGAATGGGAGTAGCCTATTAACAATTAATATTAGACAATTGATAAGGTTTAATAAGAAGCCTTTTAGGAAATGTCATAGAAAGCATGTTTATGGAAAAATTTTACTCTTTAATAGATTTTTAACATCTGTTTTTATTCTGAAAATGAGTCATGTGCCCACAGAAATTTAGATGAACCTATGAAATTCAGAAATAAGATTCAAAGGAAGTCATTTTACATGATTTCTTCTAGCCAATATTCTTTATTTTGAGTCCCAATGGGAATTTCTCTGTAGGACAACTATGTTTGTTGAGGCAAAAACGTGTGGTAGAAGAAGATGCCGCTATAGGAGATTAAGGCTTATATTTGAACATGTAAATCGTGTTAATAAACATTTTAGAAGTATATATTAAATAATTAAAATTAAGCTTTCAAAAATATAGCTTAAATGCATAATTTTATTATTTATTCTGATAACTTTTCATGTGTTTATAAGAATATGTTCTTGTTCTCATAGATTTCAACTTATTTTTAACTATTGCTTTACTTTTTCACATGTTGCTTTAGGTAAGATGTGGTCTCTGGAAGTTATATCAAATAGAATAGATCAAGAGAATAATAATGCTCAATAGTCAAAGTGTAACTTATTTAATATAATTATTTGCTTTTGATTTTCTGAGAAAATTCACAAATCCATTTATTTTAATTTTCTATAAAATAATAAGACAATTTGAATACCAGGAGATTGTACTTTCTTTTCACATATATTTGACATTCAGGTTTTCCTACTTAAGTGGCATTTTATGGGCTATGTTTCCACTCTAGTATGACATAAAAATCCTCGTAAAGGAGCAGGAGTATTTCCTTTGAGGAGTTACTCCTAGTCAAGGAGTGAAAGATTATAACATGAATGTCCTTTTTCCCTTTTCCTGTTCTGCAGGTGGACGTTGCCATAAGTCCTGTACTGGCCGTTGCTGGGGACCCACAGAAAATCATTGCCAGACTTGTAAGTGTTCATCAATGAGAGCACACAAGTTTGATGTGGTCAAGGAATTTTAAGGATTAGTACATTTCATGCCTCTGGTCATCTAAAACATAAAATGAGCTATTGCCTCCTTGTGGTTGATTTGCTTTGGTCCACGAAAACTTCCCAATTTCATTGCTTTCACATGGAAATTAAGATATAATTGATTCTTTGGTTTCTTTGTGGTTTCTAGGTTAATGATCGCAACAGCACAGCTGTGGTGATATTAACTATATCTAAGAGTTTTTACATCGGTAGAAATGGGAAATCCAATGTTTATAAAATAGTAACCCAATTTCAGGTTAACTGGGTCTCTCAGTCCATTCACCGACTAGTTATTTCACTATTTACTCATTAGAAAAAGAAAAGGAAAGGAAAAAGAAAGTGTACTATATACCCAGTGTATTCCAGGCACTGTTCTAGGCACAGGGACACAAACTTTATGAATTGTGGAAATAGTCACCATTATTGACAGTAACTATTGCCCTTAGTTTATGTTGTTTCTTGAATTAGTCATTAGCTAGAAAATATGAAGCTATCATCATTGCTAAGACATATAATAATAAACTATACTGAATATAAAGAAAAGTATCTAGTTTTTGCAGCATCCTTAATGTTGTTTAATACTCAAATCAGCACCGAACTTTCATGAATCTTGAGAATAAATGATTTCTTTAAAAATGAAAAATAAAATGTCCTATAGAAGTAGTAAACACACATTCTTCCTGTAGCAATAAAAATGACTGAAATAAGTTATGGAAAAAAGTGTCATGACTAGTTGACATTTATTTCTTTATTAGCATAGATGACACAGAAAATATTATTAAAGATTCAAACATACAAATGTTAGATATTTTGGAAATTTGTTATACTCTTTGGTGAAAGTTTACAGATTTCTAATAATTCCCAGTTCACAATATTTGCTGGATTCTATTTTAATAAAGAAATACAAAAAAATATTTTATTGTGAACCACCAAAAAATAAAAATATATGACAGCTATATTTGCAATGATAAATGATTTCTTAAATTTACTAACTTTAATTCATGAGCATTCTCATATGCAAAAGTTATGAAACAGAAAAGAATATAAGGTAAAAATAATATCTTCCCATGTGGGTCTCACCTTTTCCCTCAGCCATCCATAGACAACAAATATTATTGGCTACTTTGGTGTACTTTTCCAGAAATAATTTATGTATACCCAAGGAAGTATGCATTCACCACTTTTTATTCAAATATTAGCATGTTTTACGTGTTGTACTGCAACTTGATTTTTTCAACCCATGCATGTGTATGAATTATTTGTAGTAATTTCTAGAGGTGAATTAGTAGAGTCATAGACATGTGGATTTGGAAATTGGTAGAGCTTTTTAAAATGGAGATCTTGTTTTCTATAGAGGTTGGAACAATTAATTCTACTGAGAGCAGTGTATATAAATGCCTGTTTCCCTCCCTATTCTTTGGACAAAGCAGTTCATTAGGGAATTTTTAGATCTTTGTCAAAGGGTTAGATGAAAAATAGTATTGTAGTGTAGATTTAAATTAACTTATTTAGTAGAAACAATGTTTTATGGCAGGAATGTTTTGACAAGAATTTTAAACAGGTTTCTAAATAAGATGAGATTATTGTGTGAAATTCATTCACAACATTTGGAGACATTCTTTTAATAGCAAAGAAGTCAAGGCTAAGTTGCATCGCAATGCTTGTATGACACGGATTTGGCCACTTGCAGGAAATCAAGCTCTCTCAAATAAAGAAAAATCTGCAACACTGTGATGAAGTGACAAGTAATCAAAGAGACTGTGAAAGTGCTAGGTATCCACTGTCATTTCATGGCAAAAAAAAGCTTCTGAGGTATCAAAATTAAAAATGAGTTTGTACTCACTTACCTACTTATTTATTCATTTATTTATTTTGCAGAAGGGTCAAAGAGGCTTCTGCAAAAGCTCTTTGTTGTGGCTGAGCCACTCTGGTGGGCCCAACCACACGCTGTCTCCTGGTAGAGGAGGGAAATCTCATGCCCGTGGGGCTCAGCTAGTATTGTGGAGGGACTCATCATAGATCTGAGGGATGAAGGGGCTTAGATTTGGGAAACACTGGGGTGGATCTCTCTTCTGCTGGTGGGAGATTTAAGACACCCTGCTGTTGTGTTTTTCCTCCAGTGCCAGATACCAAACCAAAATTACTTCCTCCCACCACCTTTCAGATTTCTCATTTGGTTGCCTCTTGTGTTAATTTCAGGGTTTATAGTTGAATTTAAAAGGTAGGGAGAAAAAGGTCTCTGTCATCTTTTCTAGTTCAGAGTCTCATATAGTGCATTCAGTAATACTATTAATAATTTAAAATTATTTTACTTATTAATTTCATCTGTGTCTTATTTTATGTGTATTTTTACAGATTACAAAATGTGGTAGTATAGTTAGATTGTATGTATAGATTTTACAGTCGTCCCTCATATCACTGGTTTCCATATGGCAGATTCAAGCAATTGCAGATCAAAAATATTTGGAAAAAAACAATTAGGATATTAAACAATTAAAAATAATACAAATAAAAAATACATTTAAAATAATACAAGTAGAAAACAATACATAGATGGTGAATAATTATTCTCAGATTGAGATATATGAGTAGAAAACTTGAAAATTACCGTATTTGGGTAGAATGGGAAAACAACATATATGAGTTTTCTCTAACTTTGAAATTTCCTTCAAATTGTAGAGTGCTAAAAATTCTGAACCTTTTAATTTATTTTAGTAGATCTGTTTATGTTGGGTAAAATTTACAAAAGTTATAATTTCCACTAACATCTCTTATTTTTATAATAGACCACTTTCAAGATAACTGTCAAGTAGACACGTGGCCTTCTCTGAAAAATGCCCCCTTCTAGATGATCAGTCCCAGTAGGCAAGTTTGTTTTATGGGACACTTTACCCCTTACTTCACAGGGCAGTGTTTTTTAACCAGAAGTGATTTGCCCCACAAGGGACATTTGATAATTTGGGTTGTCACATCATGGAGGTGGGGTGGGAGGGATTATCTTCTGACACTAGTAAAGTAGAGACCAGAGATGATGCAAAATACTCTACAATGCATAGGAAAGCCTCTCCTACCCCTACCCAAACAAAGCAATAGTCAGTAGAAATACAAAATAGTACTGAGGGTTGAGAATCTTGTCATGTGGTAGATAATTGACCAGGCTGGGCCAATCAGATTCTCTCTCCAGAGAATTTAGATTTGGGATCCAGAAGTGTTGGTTACACAACCTTAGAAACTTGAACCTGAAGAGATGTTAAAGCTAATTGAGGTTTCCATTTTTGAATCATGTATGTTAATAAGAAGCAGAAAGAACCAATCGTCAAAGACACTAAAGAATAAAGCAGTCATACAGAGAGTTGAGGAAAGGAAGAATAACAGTTTTTGACAATGTTTACCTCCTAGTTCTCTGTGTTTCATGAGGTCTAGTCACACTTCTGTCCTTAGATGCTGTAAGAAACATGATGTTCTTCTAGCATATTTGAATGGAGTTTTATTACTTGCTATCAAATGTAGGTGGGAGGAAATCTTGACTAAGAAAATAATCAAGTTATAATTCATGTATCAAATCATCAGACATCAAGTTACTTAATTCAACTAATTTTTCAGCATAGAAGCTATCCTTTCTATAATCTAAAATTGGTTTAATGGTCACTGTGCTTACTACACAAAGCATACCAAATTTAAACTCAACAAATACATGTACCTAATATACACAAATACAAATTTTATTTTATTTTGTATTATTTTGTTTTAGAGACAGTGTCTGACTCTATTGCCCAGGCTGGAGTTCAGTGGTACAATCCTAGCTGACTGCAGACTGCAGCCTCAAACTCCTAGGCTCAAGCAATTCTCTCACCTTGGCATCCTGAGTTGCTGGGACTGCAGGCACGTGCCACTGCACTCAGCTACTTTTTTTTTTTTTTTTTTTTTTTTTTAATAGTGACAGGAGTCTCTCTTTGTTGCCCAGGCTAGTCTTGAACTCCTGGCTTCAAGCAATCCTCTCTCCTTGGCCTTCCAAAATTCTAGGATTGCAGGTGTGAGCCACCACACCAGCCAAATTTTAGAATAGTATACAGATTAACATAGAATTTTATTAAATATTTCCATTTTTAAAATTCATATTCATAATATTTCTGTGAGTTAAAAAGGGAAGTTACATTAATCCCATTTTAAAATTGAGAAAATATAACTAGAGAAAATGATTAAAGGGTTAAATTTACACAGCCAATACCTGTAATTTTAACCTTAGTGTTCTGAAGCTAAAGACAACTGTTTTCCGGATACCATATTTTATAGCACAGGTTAGTAGTCGAGGATGTTGGATTTGAAACTAGCCAAAAGATACAAATCCCAGTTGTTTCCACTTTCTATCATGGGAAAATGACTTCATCTTTTAAAATATCATTACCATGTCTATAGAATGGACATAATTATACTTAACTGAGGGTTGTGTGTGTGTGTGTGTGTGTGTGTGTGTGTGTGGCAGGGGGTGGAAGGTAAGAGGCACAATGAAATTCAATACAACAAAGCAGTTGAAGGGCTTAAATAATTTTTAGCATGTCCAAAACCCAGTCAATAATAGCCGATATGATAATAAACTAAAAAGGATACTGTTATAAAACTTACCCCAATTTGAATCTGAATGAATGGATGTGCAAGGCAAACTCCTGTAGACTAGTTCCACCTTGTGAAGTCTACTGACACCTGGTGGCTGGGAAATGGAAAAGCGAAAGCCCTGGAGTGGGGTTGGAGGCTGCTTGCCCTTGGCATTCATTCCTGTCCTCCTCTCTCTCAGTCTGAGCTACTTGAAAGCAAAATTACTTATCCATATTTAAAGAGCACAGCATCCTGAGGCAAAAAGTACTTTGGAACTACTCAAAAATATACTTATTATAAGACCAGAATTTTAGAATTTAGGTTATATTTTTTGAGAATCAGAT